GAAATATAAAAAAATACTGAAAAATACAAAGTGAATTGAAGTATCAACAACACAGTAAAAGTCACTTTGAAACGTTGTACTAATACTCAAATTTGTTGTCAAATCTAAATTTCTAAATGATTAGCGTTTGACTGTTAGTTTATGTTAGGATTTTTCGTCATTGTCATGTCANGATTTTTTTCAACAATCTAAGATAAAATCCGTATCTCCGCGCCCCTATGTAATATCCTCTATGCATTTAATCCTGTACTTCACTTTATCCTATTCATTTTAATCGAGTCCATCTTGCCCTACTCGTTCAATTCCATTCATCTTATTCCATTCATTTTAATATCRTACTTTCATCTTTAATTTCCTTCTATTTAGATTCCGTGTTTGGATTATATTCATAGTATCCTTCTTAATGATTACAAGGTCGATCGAATTATACCCCTAAGCTTTAWAACTGCCACTCAACGGAATACCATAATAAGAGATTATAGACTAGAGTGGGTGAAAATCCCATAAAGAAAATCTTATAATTAAGGTAAAATATTTGAATAATCACAAAAGAAAACAATAGAATTTGAGACTGATTAGATTTCATGAGTCTGTAATGTGTATATCACGTACTGGGTTCACTTTAAGCTCTTGTGTTCTGAATTTTCAAAGTGCTGAAGAGAACGATGAATAGATGAATTGCCTCTTAAACATATAGCTATTTAAAAAAAGGTTGTCGGATAACTTGGCGAATGTCAATGGTCGAACGGCGATTGCACGACCGAAAGTAGCTATCAAAACAGTGTCGGTCTTGCAATCTCCCTTCGACAATCGCTGTTCGCCGTTCTCCCCGACAAGGTTTTTTGAAATAGGTGTATATGACAAAACTTGTACCTCAACAAAAGAACGGTGACCGGCGATTGTCGAAGGGAGATTGCACGACCGAAAGGGACTATGGTTATGTCCCGTTTCACAAACAAAATTTCACCTATTGGATTCACCTTACATAGAAATGGTGACTAAATGGAGCCAATGTTTACCACAGACTATCTTACACTATAAATCATTTGTTATTGCCTTTCAAAAAGCAAAACCCATGGTTCTTTCTGTCGTGCAATCGCCGTTCGACAATTGACATTCGCCATTATCCGACAACCTTTCTTGAAAGGTATATACTGCAATAGCGAATCGTAAATAACAATGAAGAGTATTATAAAATCRTTTTTCTAGTATAGAAATAAAGTAAAAGCAAAACGTGTGCGCGTGGAGTTCAAAGTGCTAAATTATCCTGCATGATGTGAATTCACTTTTTTCTACTGTATAATCTACACCGATTACTCTTCGAGGACTGCAACGAGAGAGACTCTGCTAGCAGGGAAAATCTGGAGTGAATTCAGTAAAACCGTAAAACACTAGTTAACTAAATTGTGAAAAATAATGCTAGTGTTTTAGCATAAAATAATACCAAATTGTATTCTTAATTTTTTACGCTTTTATTCAAAGCACTATACATGTTAAGAATGAAGTAAAAAGACCCGTGAAATAGATATTACACTAAAATACACCTAATTGCATTGTTTTCTTTTGTCTAATTGACTATCACACTTTAACAGTCAAATTTGTTTTTCGGGTTTAATGACATCACTCTATTGTTTAGTATTGGTTATCACCTTTCCACGCCTATCATAGAGTTTTCTATAAAATAAATCCGTGAAATATTTAGCGTAGTGCAAACACTAAAAAAGTGAAAAAAGGACTTGCGTCTAATTATACTAAATTTCTTTTGTTTTAACAGATGAATCTCACTAACAATTAGTTGGTGCTTCACTTTTTTTTTCTTTTTGTCTGTTTGACTATCATATACTTTAATAGTCAAATTTTGTTTCACGGGTTTAAGGACTACTCTCTATAGTACGCGGTTTTAGAGYATGCTAAAATAAGCCAATCAGAACGTGAGTTAACTCATACTGAAATTAATGCATTCCAATACCGAAATGCATTATTGGTCGTCGCATTATCCTCATCAAATCGTTCTTCACTGTTTTGTAGTGACTATGCTGTTTCTTTGTTGGAAAGCTATTCAGTTTATTGAAATTACTCAAATTAAATTACGTGAGGTATAGTTGCAACCATGCCTTTTATGAAGAATCAACGAGATTAAGTGTTTATATTTATCATATAATTATCTATGCAGTACCTATATTTCTTTCTTTCGAAAATATGTGCCTTTCACTAGTGAAAAAACATTCGAGTGCACAATATTCGAGGTTTCTCTATAAAAAAGACATTTTACGACATAATTTGCTTTCATATATAATTTTATCATATAATTATCTATGAAATACCTATATTTCTCCATTTCGTAAAATTGATATTTTCACTAGTGAAAATATCACATTTGAAGTTTCTGTATATAGTGGAAGTAAGAAAAAAGGTATTTTATGACATAATTTGCTTTCATATGTAATTATATGATAAACAGAATATTACATGGTCGCTTGGAGATACGAATTTTATCTTCTCATGTTGAAAATCTTTTCAACAATCGAAGATAAAATCTGTATCATCCCGCGCCCACGTAACATCCTTTACAAATCTTTATTTCTTTTTTTTTTGATATTTTATTTTAAACATCACAGAGTAGGATTAAATAGTAGAATTGCAAAAATAATTTACAATTTACAATTAGGGGGTAGCATGCTAAGCATGCTACTCAAGATTTTTTTTTTTAAAATAGGTAAACAACTACAACTATTATAACCTATAAAAAGATATTAAATTACACTACACTACAGTGCACTGAATAACAAAAAAATTACAAATAACCTTTTCTTTAGAGTATACATTAATCAAATCTTATTTCAATAAACTGTAAAATAAACTGATTCTGATTCGGTACTCAACGCCCATGTGCGCTGAATGCTTTGATTACAGTTAGCGAAAGCTCTATTCTTTTTCTTGTTTAAATGATCCCCTTCATAAAGACCAAGTGCTGAATGATATTGGAAAACTTTCTGCTGTCAAATCTACAATATATCAATCCATTAAGCCTAAGATTCAAGAA